TATAGTCTAAAATTTGTTAGCACCTCCTGAATGCTAAATGTTAATACTGCATATATTTATTTTTATTTCAAACGAGTCAAACAGAATTAAGAGAATAATCCCAAGTATCAAATGAAAAGTTTGAATCAAATTCCATTGAACACAGGATTAGAAGAATGATTCAAGATATAACTCGTGAGGGAAAATTTCACCGCTTATTGAGTCCTACTCGATTTAAATCCGAATTAGTTGGTAGTCCAGTGGGTTTTCGGATATTATGTGATCCAAACAAAAAAAAAGAAGAAGAAGAAGAAGAAGAAATAATCCAATATATTAAATGGAAAGTTTGGATCAAATTCCATTAGATTGTTCTGTGATTTTTTTAATTTTATGCTAATAAGTTATGCAATCTTTATTTATTTTTTTGTAAATATTGTTGGCAACGTGATTAACTTTGTAGGTTCTCAATTATAAAAGTATTTTCTGTTATGAATTTGTTTTGTTAAATTGAAGAGCAAAAATGTGCTCTCTAAAAGGAGAAAAAAGAAAAAAAAAAAAAGAAAAAAAAGAGCTAAGTATACTTGGTTCGTTTTCATGTATCATGGTTATTATGGTTGCTTTGTAATTGTTTTTAGGTTAATACTAATTTTTCTTCTACTTGATGATTTGTTGATGGTAATAGGGAGTTGATATGTTTGAAAAGTGAATTGGATTTCTCAAATTCAAAGCAGACATTATTGATAAAATTAGAAAAGGGATTTATGGAGAAATCTACAAGAACATAGTAATTTAGAGTTGGAAATCAAAATCAAAAGAATCTAAAATAGAAAATTTTATATTTACTTTTAAAATTAAATTGATTATATTTATATGCTTAAATTTTCTTTAAAAAACTTAAAATATAATTATAATTAAGTATTATTTTAAAAACTTATAATTAGTAAAAAAAATTTAAAAATAAAGACCAACCATGCGAAGTACAACTTAATATCTAGCAATTTAATATTTTGAGAGACTCTTTTAAAATGGCTCAATGGAGATGCTGTTTGTAATCTCTTACCACTACTTTTATTAGTAATGCCTTGGGAAAGAATGATGTTTGTTTGCTTATGACTATATTTTAGGCACAATTGAGTTGCTGCAAGTTTAAGTGCGTTACTTGTAACTATTGCATTCTTACAATACATGTTTAGTGAAATAAGTATATGTGTGTGTTTAACTAGTTTATAAGTGAATTTATCCATAAATTTTTATTAGAACTAATCATCCCATGAGTACAAGGATTGGGTGAACATTAGATTCTATATATGAATGGCCCATGTTCATTAAAAAGAAGAAGAAGGAAGAATGGCCCACAAAGTCTTGTTCAAATGATATATGATCAAATTAAGATACTAATAAAATCTAGATTCGTGATACTAATAAAATCTAGATTCGTGATACTAAGAAAATCCAGGGCCTGCAGGTGCTGGGGGAATCACTGGTGATTCTCTTGGCAACTGGACTGTTGGTTCATTAGAGATGACCTGGAATTGGCTATTAATAAGAGAGAATTTCTAACTTGATCTTGGAAACTGACTCCAAGGTTGCTAAATTGCTTTTGGATTCTAGCAACCATGAATTTCATTCATTGCGTGGCCTGATTTTTTTATTGTTGGTTGTTGATATGTCAGGTTTCTAATCTTTGTATCCACCATTTACATTGGGAAGCAAACATTATAGCTGATCATCTTGCCAAATTAAAAACTTCTTTGGATGTTAATTTTGTTAATTGTTATGGAGGAGAGTCATGCTGATCTCTCCCTTTTGTTATTTTATGAGTTTATTAAAACTGTTGTTTTAAAAATTATTGTTGCTGTATAATTTATTTTAATATATTATATCTCTCTTATTATTAAAAAAAAAATCTTATTCGAATCCATTGTCCTTAGTCACAATTTCTCTAAAAAATAAAAAGAAAGACACAAAACAAAAGAGATGGTTATGCCTTGTCTCTCTTCTCCGAACTAAACTAGGATTCTCAGTTGCCTTTTACTTGACTGCGCGGACCTCCTTCAGCTTATCCCCCATGTGAATATCTCTAATGTGATGCGTGAGTCAAAAATGGCTGCAGACATGTTGGCCAAAATAGGGCATAATAATGTGGAAAATTTTGTTGTTTCTTGACTGTATTTCAACCTATTAAGTATGCTTGTATATTGCTGATATCGGATTCTCCTGTTATGGTTCATTGGTAACCACTGCAGTTTAATAAGATTATCGATAAATTACATTTTTAATTAATGATCGAATCTTATCATGAGTAGGTACTAACTTAATTTTTAATTTTTAACCATTTCTCCCATATAAAAAAAACAAAAAAAAAAAAAAGTATATTGCTGATATCATTTGATCGAATTCTCCATAATTTGTTGATGCATTTTTGTATTTAAATTAATGACCTTTTTTTTTGTCGTTTTCTCCCAAAAAAGAGCTTTTTTTTATAGATTTATTTGTTGTTTTTTTTTTTGGTTTTTGAATAATTTTTTTATTTCATTTCACTCATATATCATATAAATTGAATTTAAATTTTTTTATTTTTATGAAAAAAATTATTATTAAATTATTTAAATTATTCACAATTATTGTAAAAGTTAAAAGTGGCTCAAATGTAATTTGCTTGATATTTTTTTGCTTAGCCTTCTGAAGTTGATGTTTTCAAAGGACTAGAAACTAGATGGTTAAGCACTAAACAAATATGAAAAAGGATCTTTTGTGGCTTAACCTTTTATTTTTATCAATTTTTAAAAAATTGTATGATTATTTTATATTAATCTACAATTTACCGCTCTTATGGGAGGCTTTTAAAAAAAATTAATGTAAGTAAAATAACGTTAAAATTAACAGTATTTCACCTTTGCTTTGGTTGAAGGCTCCCACTTATCCTACACCTCTTTCAAATCATTTCACATAGTCGCACTAAAGTCAAGCACCACTCTTAAGGGAGTAATTCCTAAAATTTCGAAATAAACAGAAAACATGCTTTCAAATGTCATGACTTAGTAGATTAGAGGTGCTGGGCAAGCAAGGAATAGGAAAGTTTTAATAACAAAAGGAAAAATTTAGAACACACTAGTGAATTACATTATGGAGTTTTTTCCTTTTTTTTTAACTAAACATTCATATTTAAACTTATATTGAGTTTTAATTAATTTGAAATTAAATCAAATTAAACTCTATAAAAAAATTCTTCTAATATTTATATTTTTATTCACAAAACTTAAATTCAAGAGTGAACTAAATTTTTTTTTATTTAGACTAAATATTATGAAGTAATTGGTACAGCGAATAAAGATAGATTAGCCTTTCCTAATATTATAGACTAATCAAGAAAAAAATTTAATTTGATTGTCAATTATGGATTATCCGTTATTCGTTATCTGTTTATTTAATATTTAATATTAATTCAAATATTATTATCTAATTAATCCTAAACTAATTTCTTGCAGGCCTTCTCTACTCTACAGTGAATAAGACGTCGTTTGAAAACGCTGTCATGTATTATTTTGCAGTGGGAGTTGTTAGAAATGATCGTTGTACTATCATAAAAAATATTTTAATTTTCACCAAAAAAAAAAATATATATTTTAATATTTGAAAACGCTGTCATGTATTATTTTGCAGTGGGAGTTGTTAGAAATGATCGTTGTACTATCATAAAAAATATTTTAATATTTGATAATTATATTTTAAAAAAATTAATTATTATAAAATTATTTAATTAAATATCTTATTATTTAAAATTTAATTAATTAATAATTTAATATATAATATACAAAAAAGATTTAAAATTTTTATTAAATTATTTAAGAATCCTATTAATTTTGGATAAGATAGTTTTTGTATTCATTTCTAAAAAATATAGGGATAAATAATTTAC